TTCTCAATCTGTTTAAAAAGGTTGTGATAGCAAGACATGTAACTGTTAAATAGTTAATTCGTTTGAAAAGTATGCAAGGATGGGCAAACAGGATAAAACATAACAAATGTATACTTCGGACAAGCGGTCAGGAAAAAAAATACCCTTATTTTGGAGGTAACTAATCTAGACATTGTGATTTAGTGCAGTGGACGAACAGTGAACAACTTATTCTTATTCTAAGAAAACCATTCAACCACAGAATGCATATGCTATACGAGAGATGTATAAAGAAAACATAAAACGGGTTGGAACGGAAATTTCCAAAACTAGTCACTAAAAGTATTATTATTACTAAATCAAATGTTCTCATAGTGGCATTAAATGTCCTTTGATGAAGATCGGAGTCAAGTTTGAAAATCAGTTATCAACGAGATTAATTCTAGGTTTCTTTGAATTTATGGTAAGGTAGGTTAGGTAGCATGGTTTCCGTAATATTAGGTTGGGAAGGAGAAAAGAGCGGACATTGAATAAAATAAATCACTAAGTAATACCACTTTTTTTCTTTGCTTTAATTCATTTTAATATATTTACCCGAATTATATTATGACTGTGATAAATGATTTTTTACTGTACGTAGGATATTGTAACATGGCTTACCTCAGTCTACCAAGTGAAATTGTCAAAGAAAATGGTAGAACCCTATATGACAATGTATTAATGGGGCACTAAATTAGATATTCTAGGAATGCGCGAGCGCGCGCACACACACACACATACACACACGCACGCACGCACTCTTGCACGCACACACACACACACACACACACACACACACACACACACACACACACACACACACACACACACACATACATAGATACATACATACACACTCACACACACACACACACACACACACACACACACACACACACACGCACGCACACACACACAATATGATTATAATGATGAACATGGCTTACTAATGATAACAATGATAATAAAAACAAAAATGATAATAACAATAAGAATAATTAAGGCGACAATAACAATGATAGTGATAATAATAATAATGATGATGATGATGATGATGATAATGATTGTGGTAATGATAATAATAATAATGATAATAATGATAATAATAATAATAATGATAATAATAATAATAATGATAATAATAATAATAATAATAATAGCAATAATAATAATGATGATGATGATGATAATAATAATAATAATGATAATAATAATAATAATAATATTAATGATAATAATAATGATAATAATAATAATGATAATAATGATAATAATAAAAATAATGATAATGAAAATTATGATGATGATAATAATAAAGATGATAATAACAATTATAATAATAATAAAGATAACAGTAACCATCATATACATGATAATGATAATGATAACAATAATAAGAAAAAGAACAATAATGATAATTGTTATGCTAATAACATCTATGAAAATAACAATACTAACAACGATGATGATATTATAATAGTATTGAAAATAGTAATGATAATAATAATGATAATAACAATGATAATAATAATAACAATAATAATGATAATGATAATGATAATAATGATGTAATGAAGATAATGATAATATCAATAATCATAGTAATGATAATAATAGTAATATTACTACTACTACTAGTAATAATAATATTGATAATGGTAATAATAATAATAATAATAATAATAATAATAATAATAATAATGATAATAATAATAGTAATAACAAGAATAATAACAATAATAATAAAGATAATAATAATAGTATAATGTTAAAACAGTAATAATAATGATGATGATAATAGTAATAATGATAATAGTGGAATGATGGTCAATATCACTTAATTGTTAATATTATTAGCAGTAGAATCATTGTGATTATAATTACTGATAACAATAGATATAGCAGCAGCTATGACAGCGTATTGCAAATTATAAACAATAATGTGATTATTGTGATTATGCTAATGGTAACCTTATCTACACTATTTTTTTCCTTCATATCTCTGTTATCTTCATACCTGTCACCATATCATAATCTGTGTTTTTATTTTTGTTATTATTATTATTATTATCAATATTATCATTATTACCAATATCCCTATCCATCAACACAGTCAAATACATCGCTAAGATTGCATTGGTTCAATACTAACAATCCGTCGGCGGTAATGGATATGCATATACAATCCCCCCAAAATGAGATTAATACACCTTAATGATAAAATATAGCATAATTTTGCATAATTCTCCAACATTGGTTGTATTGGTAAGGTTGGCCAGCCTGGCAAGGACGCAGTTACTCCTGACATCAGTGCGAACCTGGTAATGGATTCGTATTGAAGTTGCGTTTATTATCATACATTCCACGGGTTAGTGATGTGCCCCGACTGCGTATGAGCCGTAGGGAGGCCATACCCAGAAAATCCCGGGGGAACCAAGGAGGGACCATAATGAGGAGAGAGATAATGAGGTGGTCGTTGTGCCTCGTCGTCGTCGGCCATTTTGTTTTTTATTATTCCCCGCTTTTAAAGGCTGGGAATCAATAGGTCTTCTGTGTCACGGCATTCGATTCACGGGTGCCTTATGGCTAGCTCGTGGCCCTCGGGTTACGCTGGTGGCACACAGGCCTCGAAATATGGATGACAAAGTGTTGGAAATGTGGAATTTGGTTTTGAATTGTAGCGTTCCTTTGCGACACTGGAGGGTCCGCGGTTTCCCTGTGTACATTATTATGGGTTTTATTACGTGTTTCTTTAATTCCTGGATTCTGTTCTTGTTGCTTGCACAATCCTCTGTTATTTTTCTGATGTTTTGTTTCCCTTTTTCTTTAAAACAATGTTGTTCTTGTATTGTTTTTGATTATTAAATCTGCAAATTGGAAATTTTCTTTCTCTTCATGAATGTATGTATGCAAAATTATTAATTTTTGTAGTTTCTTATTTCAATAGACCAAATGGCAGTCAGTTCTGGAGTTCTTTTCACGACCAAAAGAAGGTGAAAGATAATTATCATGTATTTACTAAGGCTGACACTTAATTAATTAATATTTAAATATCCTTTTGCTACACAGTATGCAACAATTTTATGAATAACCAACACTGTACATATTGACAGATATAGTTGAATGTGTATATATATATATATGTATATATATATATATATATATATATATATATATATATATATATATATATATATATATATATATATATATATATATATATATATAAGTATGTATATTCTGCATATATATTTAAAAATGTATGTGTATATTTGGATGACTGGCTAATGATTTTTAAATGGATTTTGGTTTAGAAAACATATTGTTATCATTATTATTTTTTGCTTGCATTATATTTATATTTCTACATTTTTCAAATTCAAGAAATTCTTTTCCCCTGAATCTATTGTAATGGTTATTTTTTTATGTTTGTTCATATTATTATTGTATTATGACTAGGCTACATAGTCATTCTTATGAATGGTATTCATCTAATGATTCATATTAGAAGTAGTAGTTGTGTTATTTTATTATTACTATTATTATTAATATTGTTATTAGTATTAATGTTATTGCTATTACCATGTTAACTGATATTATTATTACCCTAATAATTGATATCATTATTATTATAATTATTATGTGTTATTGTTCAATTTTTACTTTATTATTATTGTTACCATCATGTATTTAATGTTATTATAAGTAAGTTTGTCATGATTATTTCATCTATTTGGGTTATCAATGTTAATGTTACATTAATCCTGTTAATGTTACTAATATTGTTATTATTATTATAGTAATAGTTGTTATTCTTATTGTTATTATTGTTATTATTATTTTTTGCTGTTATTGTAGTTATTATTTATATCATCATCCTTATTACTATGATCATATCACTCACTATTGTCATCAGTCTTCATAATTTTCAGTTTTTATTCTTTTCATTATGATAATTATTGTCATCATAACCATTAGTAGTATCAGTAGTAGTAGTAGTAACCCCCACCACTACTACCATAATTATAATGAAAATAATAATAGTAATGGTAATAATAGTACTGATAATATCATTATTGCTCTTATAGTAATAATTGTAATAATGTTATTGTTATTATTATTATTATTATTATTATTATTATTATTATTATTATTAATTATTATTATCATTAGTATTAGTTTTTTTTTTTTTTTTTTTATTAATTTTCTTTTATCATCATGATTTTGTTATTTTATTATTGTTGTTATTTTTATTATTATTGTTACTTTTATTGTTATTATTATTATTATTATTATTATTATTATTATTATTATTATTATTATTATTGTTGTTTTTATATTTACTACTACCCCTACTAATACTATATTCTTCTGTGACATTATTATTCACATATTGTGTTCTTTCAGTGATTTAGTTGTTAATATTACTCATCTTCACTCTATAAGTAATTTATTCGTGAATCTCCAATCACCATCTCCTGAATTTGTGAGGATCTACCGAATGCTTCATGTCTGGAAAACTTCATTGGATTTCAAATAATAATTATCATAAACCAATCATGGCTCAAGTGATTATCTTAACCTACCTGTCAACGTATTAGTCTTCCAGTGAATTAATAGATGAATAGAAAATAACAGAAATGATAATAGTTTTGATGAAAGTAAAAATGATAATGATAATATTAATCATGATAATCATAATGGTAATGGTGATAATGATGATAGTAATAATATAAATGATGATAATAGTAAAAGGCTAAATATAAATATAGTTATAGAAAAATATAATGATTGGTTGGAATGAAAGTAAAATGGAAGTGAGGAAAAAGTTAAAAGATGAAAGGGATTTTCCAAAAGAACAAGATAAAGTGAAAGCATTAGGTTAATGAACATAAGAACCTTTTTTTTTTTCTTTTTTTTTTGATAAGTTATTCTATACACTTTATTGTTTTATTTTGATATCGTCTTATTCTTTTCTTTCATCTTTTGTGCCTTGCCCTAATTCTGAAAGATGTAAATTACATCATGGAAGTAAAAAGAAAAGGGAAAAGAAATTATTACCAAAATAGACCATATCTCTATCATTTAACACTCAAATTTGAAAGCATAGAAATTAAAAGCATATAGATACATATACACCTTTAGAACTGTTATAACATATTGATTTTACTTTCAGATGTTAAAGTCCTTCTGGGTTCCCGCACCATGGCACTCGGGGACGGGACTTGGCTCTCAGTGCAAAGAGGCAGCTGGTAATTGTGGATATTGTTGCTGTTTGATTATAGATAGTAAAGGTTTTGTTTATTATGATTTTGATGTTGATATGATTGTTATTGCTTTGTTATTGTTGTTTGTGTTATTCAGATGTTATTACTGTTTTGATTATTGTTATTATTATTATTATTGTTGTTATTATTATTATTGTTATTATTATTATTATTGTTATTATTATTATTGTTATTATTATTATTATTATTATTATTATTATTATTATTTTGTTATTGTTTTGTTATTATTACTGTTATTATTATTGTGGTTGTTACTTTTGTAATAAGCATTTATACTTCATTGTTGTTATCATTGGAAATAGTTGTAGTTGTTATATTATTATTATTATTAAATTGGTATTTCTTCTATTTCTATCAATATTATCCTCATTGTTACAGTTGCTTTGATCTTTGCAACGATGATGACGATAAGTAGTAGCATCGATATTTTGAGATAATATGATCGTTACTGTTTTCTTTCTTTTGTATCTGATCAGCTGGTTCGAAAATCAGGGTCCAAATGAAGTGATTTTAGAGAATGAACCAGATCCGTGTAGGCATTTAGGACGTCATTAAGAGATTCTCGACGGGAGGAAGGCTTGCGTATTTTGAGGCTAGGAATTTTGGGGAGTTTTGCTCGAGGTTGGAGTTTCGGTATTGCTTTCTGGTTGATGGTGTTATTATTATTGTTATTGTTATTATTATTATTATTATTGTTATTATTATTGTTATTGATGCTTTGCTGTTGTTATTTATTCTTGTTATTATTAATATTGATATTGTTATTATTATTATTGATGTTTTGTTGTTGTTATTTATTATTGTTATTATTATCATCATTATTATTCTCTATTTCTTTATTCATTCTTTATCTTTATCGTTCTTGGTATGGTGATTGTATATATCAAAACCAGTTCAGATTAAAGTGGTATGGGGGGGGGGGGGTTAGAATACTGAATTGGTCCCTCACAATAGAGTAACACATGATATGCTAAAAAATATAGTGAAAAATTGTTTAACTGTTCTAAAATTAGCAATAGTGTGTCTGGTGAAATTATCAGTGCATAGAGTTTCTTATGATATATATGCTAGATTTTTTCCCCTTATCGAAACTACGTCTACTTATTACTGATCATAACATTAATCTACATAATGGTAATACACTTTGCTCTAAAATGCTTGGGGAATAACTTTGAAATGTTAAAAAATCCCTTGAAAAGATTACCTGTCCCTCGACATAACGTAAAGCCAGTCCTTTATTGCAACCACCCCCCCCCCCCATATAAAATCCATTATCCACTACTGATTATTGATCTTGGTTTTGTGAAATGTGTCTTTGCATTTTGTTTGTAATTAAAGGTAGACTATTGTGTTTGTTGTTTTTTTTATATTTCTCAAACCACTGTACAGGGTTGATACTTTGATACTGCTTTGAAATTGAAAGATTTGACTAACAGAATCGACTTTTAATTCTTATAGAGAGATTGCAAATTGTTATAAAAGATTTTTTTTTTTTTTTTTTTTTTTTTTTTTTTAGTCAATGCTGTTTTCTTCTTCTTCTTCTGCCCTTTTTTTCTTTTTTTCTTTTCTTTCCTTTCCTTTTCTCTTCTTTTTTTTCTTTTTTCTTTTAGTATTTGATGATTGTATTTATACAGTGGATTTTTTTTCTCTCATGCTGGTGTGTTTTAGTGTACTTTTTTCATGAAATTATATGATAACTTTTTTGATTATCAGGAATATAGAATTTAAAAGTATGGGAGTTTGGTCAGTTTTAGCTGTTTTCAATCAAGGAAATGCCTGAAGAAAAAAGGTGAAATTAAAAAGAGGATGTCAAAAAGTAAGACTTGAAACAAGGAACAATCTTCCAAACAATGTTGTGTGTGACAAATATGTACATCAATTTAAAATGTTTTTTTATATGTTAATTTAGCTTAGCATTTCTTCTGCATTGAACTAGAATGCACTCACATTGACACATATGCACACACACACATGTACACACTCACAGACGTTCACACACACACACACACGCAGACACACACACACATGCAGACGCACACACACACACACATGCAGACGCACACACACACACACACACACACACACACGCAGACACAAACAGACACACACAAGCAGACACTCACACAAGCAGACACACACGCACGCACACACACAGACACACACACACACTGTCTCTGTCTATCTCTCTGTCTCTTTCTCTCTGTGTGTCTCACTCTCTCTTTCTCTTTCTCTTTTAAACCTGCATTATTATCATGATTATTATTATTCATTATTATTATTATTGTTATTATTATTAATATTATTATTGATATTGTTGTAGTTATTGCTGTTGTTATTGAAATTATAATTGTTGCTGTTGTTATTATTATTATTATCATTATTATTATTGTTATTGTTATTATTATTATTATTATTATTATTATTATTTTTGTTATTGTTATTATTATTATTATTATTATTATTATTATTATTATCATTATCATAATTATCATTATTATTATTGTTTTTTATTATTGTTATTATGTTGTTCACAATATTTTTTTCTTTGCTTTAATTGTAGTGATCTTAAAACTTTTTCTGTTTTTTCTTTTTTTTCTTTTTTTTTATCTGATAATTCTATGTTTATTGAGTTTAATCAAATTATATTGTGAATGTTACTGGGTGGTAGTACTGCCTTGAAATAGTGTGAAAATCAAATGGCAGTAGATTTGATACAGTGTCTGAGTACTTGAAAGAAATATTTTGAAAGGTATTTCCATTTGTAAATTTATATTTATGTATAATGTAGTTTCTTTTAGAACTCCATTTACTTTTTCATTTATATATTTTTCTTTTCTTTTCTTTTTTTCTTTTTTTTCTCTTCTTTTTCTTCTTCTTTTGTATATTTCATGATATTGTTTTGAAAGTATTTTTCTCTGTGTATAGTGCATATGTGTAATGTATTTATTTTTTCTTACAAAACCTTGTATTTGTATTTTTTCTAGACTAAGTGCATGATATTATACTAAAAATTCTTTCTTTTCTTTCAGAATTCTGTGTTAGTAATTTTACTTGAAGATGGCAGGGCAGTTGTTATACTTCTCCAGATATGGCATATCAGCACACCAAGTTACAATAATACAGCCGTGAAACCCACGATCAGAAACCAGAATACGGAGTTTGGGATTTGCTAGCCAAGACTCTCCTTTTTGAGCAACACAATGGATCAAAATCCGCAAGAGATTATGCATTCTCTCTTCTCTCTTGATCCAAGCATGGAGAACAGAGGCCATCTATACCCATATAACTATCCTTATGGACAGTACCCGTATCCATATCACTACCCTTACTCAGCAGCCCATCCTTCCGTAGCTCACTCAAATATCCCGCCTGCATCCCACAGTATTCCCCCTCCATCTTCCCATCCCATAAACCAGGCTTCACAGAGCCTGTCAGCATCTCAGGCCAACCTTCCAGCATACAGTACAGGAGTCCATAGCATCCGTCCACCCATGACCAACATGCGGGAACAACCTGGTGATGGCAGGTTACATCTGTTGCCTGAGATAGAGAGGCCAGCACACGAGACGCAGCAGACTGCACAAGATCTGCGAAGTATGCACAGCGATTCTAGGTCATCTGTAGACTCTAGGCATCATGCTGCTGATATGAGATCCTCGTCTAGTGAGCACCGCTATCTAGACGAGGTGAGGACACTCTCTGCCCAGCCCAGAAATTCCAGCAGCGATTCCAGGCACTTGTCAGATTATTCACCACAGCCAACAGATTTGCGGACTCAACCCATTGATGCCAGGTTGTATGGTGATATGAGGCAAGTTCCAGATCAAAGACATATTAACGAGTCTCGGCCATTGAATGACCAGAGAACACAAAGGTCAGAGAGCAGTGTCACAGATGACCATAGGGTGCATATGGGTAGATCTGATGAGTACAAGTATGGAGGAAATTTAGGCAGTTATAGTAATCACCCGCTTAACACTCCTCAACACATTGAAGAACCTCCATTGTCAGGTGATCCAAGACCACCAATCAATGATAATAGACCAGGTGAAGAAAACAGGAGTTTATATGTCCCTATGAGAACATGTACAAATGAGGAAAGGTTAACAAATCATCCAGAATCACAAAAGTCTTCTGTTTCCCATGATTATTATAGTAGCAGACCTCATGTTGGTCACAGCAACCATTCAGCAAATGGTGAAGAATTCACATCCACACCCACAGGTCAAGAAGGCGTGCAGAAGCCACATATGGGGACTGAATATATGCCTGATATTAGACAGTGTACAAATGAACAGAAAACACAGTTGAATAATCCAGCAATAACTTCGGAAGAAGTTAATGAGAGAAATATGAAGTATCCCACAATTAGTAGTCCAAATACTTCACTTGGATTGCTCTCTCATGCTCTTGGCCAACACCTTGGTGAAGAAGCCAATAAATGTGGAAATGGGACAAAAACTGATGATTGCAATAGTGGAGACAAAAATTTTTATGCAGTGAAGGACAGAGACTACAATGGGGAAAGAAGGAATGGCCAAGATGATTTTGAAGATAAAGAGTCAAAAACACCTGAGGTGGATGAGTTAGAGGATGACTTTGATTCTGAAGCTTCATCCTGTGAGTACTCAAGTCCATACATTGAATTCAGTGAAGTAGCACATGGCATATTCAATAATGTTAATAATCTAGCAGGTCCAATGAAACCCTTCCAATGCGAAGACTGTGATGCAACATTTACCACAAAAGGTAATCTCAAAGTACACAAGCGAATTCATACAGGAGAGAGACCATATGAATGTGAAGACTGTGGCAAAACTTTTTCATATTGTGCGTCGTACCAATCACATAAGCTTATTCACAGTGGACATAGGCCATTCAAGTGTGACTTTTGTGAGAGGGCCTTCTTCCGAAGTGAACACTTAGAGCGCCACAGAAGGCGGCACACCGGCGAAAGGCCCTTTAAATGTACAGAATGTGATGCCACATTTGCTGCAAGTGATGGGCTTTCAAGACACACTAGAACTCACACAGGTGAGAAACCCTACAATTGCAAAGAATGTGGGATGACATTCGCCTACAAGTCCACTTATCTTCGACACAAATTACTGCATAGTGAGGGGTCATATAAATGCGAAGATTGTGGTGCTGCTTTCAAAGACCCTGTAAGGCTTGACAAGCATATTAAAAAGCATGATGATCCAAATTATTTGCCATACACAGATGAAAGCAAGGCAAAGCCCCATAAACTGGTGGAAGATGGAATAGAAGTAATTGGTTGTGAATTTTGTCAGATGAAATTTAGACACAAATCAGATTATTACCTTCACAGAAGAACACATACTGGGGAGAAACCATATATATGTGATATTTGTGGTGCATCATTTATCAGGAGAGCATACTTGGATGTACATATGAGAACTCACACAGGTGAAAGACCTTATAAATGTGATGCTTGCGAGTCTGCCTTCAAAACTCGTACTGCCTTGAAATTTCACAGACGCATTCACACTGGTGAGAGGCCATACAAATGTGAACATTGTGATTTTGCCTTTGCTCAGAAATCTGCGATGAAGGCACATGTTCGTATACACACAGGTGATAAACCCTTCAAATGTGGTGAATGTGATGCTGCTTTCAGACACAGCAGTAGCTTAACCATTCACAACACAGAAGGCGGCACACCGGCGAAAGGCCCTTTAAATGTACAGAATGTGATGCCACATTTGCTGCAAGTGATGGGCTTTCAAGACACACTAGAACTCACACAGGTGAAAGACCTTATAAATGTGATGCTTGCGAGTCTGCCTTCAAAACTCGTACTGCCTTGAAATTTCACAGACGCATTCACACTGGTGAGAGGCCATACAAATGTGAACATTGTGATTTTGCCTTTGCTCAGAAATCTGCGATGAAGGCACATGTTCGTATACACACAGGTGATAAACCCTTCAAATGTGGTGAATGTGATGCTGCTTTCAGACACAGCAGTAGCTTAACCATTCACAAAAGAACTCATACAGGAGAGAGACCATATTCTTGTGATGTTTGTGGAGCCTCTTTTGCCCAACGTCCCCACCTTAATCTGCACAAACGATCTCATTCTGGTATTAAACCTCACACTTGTGATGAATGTAGTGCATCCTTCACAAAGAAAGATTATCTTCTAGCTCACAAAACCAAACATGCTGGAGGCAGTGCCATCAAGATTGAAGCTATTGCAGAAACAGCTGGGGATCAGCTGTTCAAATGTACAGATTGTGAGATGGTGTTTACCCACCATTCTAGCTTGACAGTCCATATGAGAAAACACACAGGTGAAAGACCTTATAAATGTGATGCTTGCGAGTCTGCCTTCAAAACTCGTACTGCCTTGAAATTTCACAGACGCATTCACACTGGTGAGAGGCCATACAAATGTGAACATTGTGATTTTGCCTTTGCTCAGAAATCTGCGATGAAGGCACATGTTCGTATACACACAGGTGATAAACCCTTCAAATGTGGTGAATGTGATGCTGCTTTCAGACACAGCAGTAGCTTAACCATTCACAAAAGAACTCATACAGGAGAGAGACCATATTCTTGTGATGTTTGTGGAGCCTCTTTTGCCCAACGTCCCCACCTTAATCTGCACAAACGATCTCATTCTGGTATTAAACCTCACACAAAAAAAAGAACTCATACAGGAGAGAGACCATATTCTTGTGATGTTTGTGGAGCCTCTTTTGCCAACGTCCCCACCTCACCTTAATCTGCACAAACGATCTCATTCTGGTATTAAACCTCACACTTGTGATGAATGTAGTGCATCCTTCACAAAGAAAGATTATCTTCTAGCTCACAAAACCAAACATGCTGGAGGCAGTGCCATCAAGATTGAAGCTATTGCAGAAACAGCTGGGGATCAGCTGTTCAAATGTACAGATTGTGAGATGGTGTTTACCCACCATTCTAGCTTGACAGTCCATATGAGAAAACACACAGGTGAAAGACCTTTTGTATGTGAAGATTGTGGAGCATCTTTCTTATATAGTTCAAACTTAACAACTCACCGTCGAAAACACACGGGTGAAAGACCCTACAAGTGTGACCAGTGTGAAGCTTCATTCATATTGAAGAGTTATTTGACAATGCATCTTAGAAAGCATTCAGGTGAGAGACCATTTAAATGTGATGAATGTGATGCTCGCTTCACACAGAAGACTCACTTGTCAACACACAGGCGAATACATACAGGAGAATGCCCATACAAGTGTGAAGAGTGTGGGGAAGCATTTCGTGATGGTGCCAATTTCTGGAGACACAAAAAGAAGCATTTAATTGGAGAAGGTGCCGCTACAGTAACTCGCAGAAGAGGAAGAAGAGGGAGAGGGAGAGGAGGATCCAGAGGGACAAGAGGCGCTAGAATGGTTCCCACAAGACGCACAACACGCACCCGCAGGCCTGTCTTGAAATTTGAAGACCTTTATGAGCAATATATTGTAAATCAAGATGGCGAACCAATATTTCTGAAAGAGGAACTGCAAGATCTGACAACCAGAGATGGTGAGGATGATGATGACGATGATCGTCCCTACATCCCTATCAATCCAATGGTTGAGATTAAATTAGAAGGAGAAGATGATGAGGAAGAGAAAGATGAGGATGAAAGAGTGGAAAATACAGAGTCAGAGTTGCAGGAAGAGGAACTAATGGATGATACCTGTGAAAAAGAAGTTTCACAGGCAGAGCACGGTGACAGTAATGCTGGATCAATGTCTCCTAAAGAAGATAATGAAGGTGAAGATTCAAATGAAGAAACTAGAGAGAAGGATGTAGCAGGAGATGAGTTGCAAGGTTAGATAGGTTTGTTAGTTATGTTAGATTTTTTGGCATTATATTATTTACATTTATATATACGACTTACAGTATGCAGAGTATAGAATATTTCTTGGTCATAAGAAACTTATCTATTATACCTAAACAAAAAGACAGTGTATTTATATTAATCATTTTTTTCATGGATCTCAATGGAATTATATTCTATGTTAAATTCTGTTTTCTTTTACTTTTTTTTCTTGTTTAGTTTAGTTTATGTGATACTTGTAGAGGACAAGACAAATGACTTGGTATTTGTAACTGTGTCCCTGTGGTGTATGCAGGAGGATTTCGATGTGGTGTATTCTCCAGTGATCAGTGTTGTATGAGTAGTGTCAGAGTTGACTTGTTCTTATACTAGCTTCAGAATGTTTACATGTGATGAACTTGGAACGCGTTTTTCTTGTGAGAGTTCTAAACGTCTTGATAGATTACCTGTGGTGTACTTGTTTGTGATAAAAAGATATGCTAATATGTTGATATTGGTACATTTATATTGATAGAGAATTTTTGTTTTATATTGTATCAAATGGCATTTATATTAGATGATGTTATACCCTGAATGACTTTAGATTCAAAATATGATATTAAATTTTCAAAGACTTGAATCTGTCTGGTTTATAGATTTTTAAAATTACATAATTTGCATCATATAGCAAAAAGAAAGAATCTTTCAATTGTAAACAGGTACTAGTCATAATAAATATGGAGTCATATTTTGATGTTTACAGTGAAGGAATAATTGTTGGAATGTATTTGTTTGATGTCTTAGACTGAGCTGTAAATAGCAAACTTTAGACATTTTCTACATTAGGAGATGTATTGAATTGTTTGTGAAATGTACAACTGGGGAAATAAATTGTGAATTCCGAATTGTGATTGGCTTCTTAACCATAGACAAACTACAACATAAACCTGTATATTATTTTGAGATTCGGTAATTCATTTTCTATTATCATAACAATGAAATACTTTTTAATCTAGGCTGTAGTAGTATTTTTGTAGAAAAATAAAATATGACCTTTTTTATGTATATTTATGTATATTTTTAGACATATTCTTAATGATTGTGAAGAGCATGCACACCCAGTTAAAGCTTGTTGATATATGCTCAACTATTTGGAAACAAAATTTGGAAAATTTCAATAAAGAACAATTGTTCAAAACATATATATACTGACAAAATTGAAATAAAATAATGCAAATAATCAGCTTCAAAGCAATTTACTACAAACAATATAGAGATTGGATGACCACTTTATATTCCATGGGCTGTTGATCATTGGTTATCAAACATTGTGTATTTTGGCACAGACATAAAAGAGGTTTAGTTTACCCCTAATCCTAACTTCTTGTTGGCATGACACTGTCTTAGTAGTGGCCCAACTATTAAAAAGTGGGTATAAGTATTGTATTAATTTTATATTGATAGGTTTTATTATGTATATAGGGGAGTGATTACCACTACCATAGGAGGAAATTGTACTCCTGTAATGGTAGGGAATGTTAAGAATGAATGCTCTAGAATAATTACTTTTACTGATATTACAGTTGCCACTGGTACTGTTGATATCATTGCATATTTTAATTTATATTTTTATTAATTTATCATTATACTTGTCATTATTAATATATCTTATTTATTCTAAAAGTATCGCAGTTATTTTGTGATTAGCAGATTATGTAGTCGTGTATTATTATTGTTATTTTATAAGACTTCATTATAGTTGTAATTTTATTGAAGTATGATGTAAACATCACCATTATTTTATTTTTATTTTGGTGTACTCGTTATCATTTCATCTTTATTATTGCCATCACTGCCACCACCATC